AGTTCCATCTGCTCTGCCTCTTCCTGCTTCTGCTTCCTTGCCATCTCCACTGGTGTCGTCTCAGACAAGACACTACCTGATTTTTTCTGGATAATAGCGACATCCTATGGGCCCCCTGCAGGTACAACGGGCCCTTCCCTTCGTCCATTTGTCACACGGCTGCCAGGCTCTTCACTTCATATCGTCTGCATCAAACCCTGGGGTGCCTTCCCGTTTTTTGTCAGTTAGGGTTTGTTCAGAGCCACAAAACTATTAAGTTGGTGCAAAAGTAATTACAGTTTTGACCATTACTTTCAATGGCAAAGACCGTGATTACATTTGCACAAACCTAATACTAAGATAAAATGAAATAAGCGATGTATGCTAAGAATTAGACCTTTCATGCTTGAGGGAGGAGTTGAGAGTCAATTGAAAACTCATCCACCAAAAATCAGTTTTCTAATTTGACCATTGCATTTTTTTTTCTTTTTTTTTTGAGATGGAATCTCGCTCTGTTGTCCAGGCTAGAGTGCAGTAGTGCAATCTTGGCTCTCTGCAACCTCCACCTCCCAAGTTCAGGCAATTCTCCTGCCTCAACCTCCCCAGGTAGCTGTGATGATAGGCACATGACAGGCATGTGCCGTGACGTCCAGCTAATTTTTGTATTTTTTTATGGAGATGGGGTTTCACCATGCTGGCCAGGCTGGTCTTGAACTTCTGGCCTCAAGTGATCCGCCTGCCTCAACCTACCACAATGCTGGGATTACAGGCGTTACAGGTGTGAGTCACCATGCCTGACCTAATTTGACCATTGCATTTAAACTTATTAGATGAGTACCAGGTCGAGGGCTGGGTATAGCAGAGTCAGGGGTAGGAAAAGAGCCTATGTTTATGACATAAGGACAGTGTATTGCAGTTAAGAGAAGCTATTCTCATTCACAGGTGAAGTAGAGTTCTGGAAAGTCCTGCCCTCTAAAATTCAAAATACCACTGAAAAATATATTTAATCTGGGTAGACGGAATCATCTTAATTATAATGGCCAGGGTGAAATAGCTGTGAGAAACTCTCAGTGAAACTAAACTAAAATTGCCCCCAAACTACCCTCCTGCACACCAAATCTTCAATTAGGTGAATTTCCTAAATATTGTATAGAAGTTGATTTATGCGTATATTTTTTCAAAATATGCATAGTTTAAATATGCATATTTGAAATAAAACAAATCCTTTTTATCGTCTCTGGCTTTCGGCTGTGCTGGAGGACTGTCCTCTGATTCTCTTCTTTTGTCCCTTTTATTTTTTGTCTTTTTTTTTTCCCCATTTATTTATTTTATTGCATTTTAGGTTTTGGGGTACATGTGAAGAACATGCAAAATTGTTGCATATGTACACATGTGGCAGTGTGATTTGCTGCCTTCCTCCCCATCACCTACATCTGGCATTTCTCCCCTTGCTATCTCTCCCCAGCTCCCCACCCCGCACCGTCCCTCCCCTATTTCCCCTCAACAGACCCCAGTGTGTAGTGCTCCCCTCCCTGTGTCCATGTGTTCTCATTGTTCAACACCCGCCTATGAGTGAGAACATGCGGTGTTTTTTGTCTTTTAAGTCTCTGTTCTTTTGCGATTCTAGATCCATCGGAATTAGAAATGTTGTTTCCCTCCGCTAGGCTGTAATAGCAGTTGCAGTCTGTCCTCCGTCTCTCAGATTGTTCACATTTCACATTTTAAGTGCAACAGAACTTTTGACCAATGTGTTTATAATAAGCTCTAGCTACTCCCTTTTTCACTAGCTTCTGTGCAGGTACCTGTATGCAGTGCTGAAGCTTCTCGGGCATACTCCGGAAAATACCAAAGCCTGCTTTGTTTCTTGGTAGCCACTCCTGTTTGCACCATTGCGTATTGCTGCTGTCATCGTTCCTTACCTTCCTCCTTGTTCTGTGAACTCTCGTCTCTGTGAATAGCCCCTTGCCTGTATGTGGAGAAGAGAGCAACCTCCAGGCTGAATGCAGACCGAAGAGGGCTCCTTCACTGCACAGAAAGCATGTATTCTAGATACACTCTCCACCCCACTCAAAGACATGTTCCACCTTAGAGCAGCATTGGCAAGTTTGTTCTTTAATCATTTCTTATCCTTTGAGTGGAGGTTACAGTGTGTGTGATCATAGAAAGTGCCAGCCTGTTCTGCCTGAGAGCATTAGAGGTATTTCCCAGAAGGGATGACATTTTTTAAGTGATTTGTTTTTTTTTTTTTTTTTTTTTTTTTTTTTTTTTTCAGAAAGACTCACAGCTTGTGAGCTTGAAATGTACCAGCATTGCTCTTTCAAATATACATCAATTAAATATACAGTTTGGTACTTTTCAAGCAAAAGTGATAGCATTTTATCAGTTTAGCTCAGTTTCTGCCCCTCTATGACTCTCTGGAACACGTCTGTACGATCGTCAGCCAGAAGGAAAGAAACAGCAAATTAACTCATATGGAAGATTGCATCTATTATTAATGGTACTGTGATTTCATCAACAGAAGGCATGAACTACATATTCCTTGCTCTTAGTAGCAAGGAATAAGATACTGAAGAGTAAATTCCTAGCCATCATCAATGAAACATATCACCCCATGTAGCACCTGGCAGCTGTATGGTGATTCCCTGAGCAGATACTGCCTTTTCTTCTCATAGCCACCGTTGGAACTGCCTAGCTGATAGAAGCCTGGCTTGCAGAAGGACACTATCAAACAAAATCAATGGCTATGCTAGCCACAAGTCCTATGTTCTGTACAAAAGTCTAAATACATCATTTATGCCTTGTGAGCCAGTACATCTCAAACACCTGAGTTCCAGATAATTGCAATGGCTGGCTATAAATTGGTCTATAATTCTGTCACCCTCTGATCTGTGACATTGTTTTCACCTTATCTTACGTGTATACTATACCCGTCACAAATTTTCCCCTTGTTCTGCCAAGTCATCTCCCCTCTCATCACCCACTTCCTCTGAAAAGAAATAACCTAGGAAATACATGAGTGGTTCCTATGGTTCTCATAACAAAGCTACTGTTCGTTGAATATGGGCTGTGCGCCAAACCCGTCTGTCTACAGGTATTTTTACCTATGGTATCTAATTTATTTTTATGATAGTCTATGAAATGTGCTTTGTTATTTTAACTTACAGATCAGAAAAATGGAAGTCAAAGAAGGCCTTCAAAGGGATGTGGGGGGAAATAGTGACTTCAGAACATCGTTTGATGGAACAGTTTGAGAGCTTGGACAGACGTGATGCCCCTTTTCCTCAGTTCCCAGAGCGTGGGACTTGAGTCCTGGTTTTGTTCTTGGCAATGCTGGAGTTTTTCCTCGCTACTTTTAGCAGCTCTCATTCGTTTTAAAGCCTTCATTTAGGAAATGTACTTTAATTTTTTTTTTTTTTTTTTTTGAGACAGAGTCTTACTCTTTTGCCCAGGCTGGAGTGCAGTGGCGTTATCTCGACTCAGTGCAACCTCCACCTCCCAGTTTCAAGCGATTCTCCTGCCTCAGCCTCCCGATTAACTGGGATTACAAGCATGCACCAACACACCTGGCTAATTTTTGCATTTTTAGTAGAGACGGGATTTCACCATGTTGGCCAGGCTGGTCTTAAACTGCTGACCTCAGGTGATCTGCCCACCTCAGCCTTCCAAAGTGCTGGGATTACAGGCATGAGCCACTGCACCCAACCCCCCAATTTTTTTTTTTTAATTTTTAAAAATAGTAGAGATGGGGTCTCACTACGTTGCTTAGGCTGGTCTCAAACTCCTGGCCTTATGTGATCCTCCCCCCTCAGCCTCCCAAAGTGCTGGGAGTATATAGGCAGGAAGCACTGCACACAGCCATTTTATTTTTAATTTTTAATTGAAACAAATTTTTAAAAAGGAAATGTACTTTTAAAGGAAAGCACAGGAATTGGGGTTCTTGCTGTCACTGATAGACATTGGTGAACACTTAATTTGTGCTACAAATGAGAGCAAATCGAGGACACAGAGGGCTTTGGACTTTTCAGAGACAGCTGATTTCAGTTTCAGTAAATCATAGTCACTTTCATTATGACTAAGAATCTTTGCTTTTCAGTATTTTTGAAGTGCGTTTCTGTGTGCTCGGGACAATCAATTCAAAGTGAAGAGGTTCATTTGTTTTTGTTATTTCATTTATTCAACCTAAGTGTGTTCCCCTGTTGTTTTGGGGGGCGTACTCTATGCAGTCATGTGGGTCACAGATCTTGTCTTTTGCTTCTTTATGGCTCTAATTTCTGGCACATAATGGGCCTTCAACCGAATTTTGTTTGCTTGGGTAGTGAATGAATAGTGGAAAGATCAGTTGCAGCCAGGCACAGTGGCTCACACACCTGTAATCCCAGCACTTTGGGAGGATCACCTGAGGTCAGGAGTTCGAAACCCGCCTGGTCAACAATGGGAAAACCCCATCTCTACTACAAATACAAAAATTAGCCAGGTGTGGTGACACATGCCTGTAGTCCCAGCTACTCATGAGGCTGAGGCAGGAGAATCACTTGAACCCAGGAGGCAGAGGTTGCAGTGAGCCGAGATTGCACCACTGCACTCCACTTGGGCAACAGAAAAAAAAAGAAAGAGCCGTTGCTTCGGGATATTTAATTTAGCTAAAAAGCGACAAATGAAATTTTAAATTATTGTTGATTTATTCAAGAATACATAGCTATGACTAAGAGATACAATTAAGTTAAAGAAAAATGCAAACTGAATATCAAAGGATTTGTCCAGTAGATAAGGTTAACACTCACTCAGGAAGAGGACTCCCAATGGAAGTGGTGGGAGGCAATTAACACCACGTATGTCACTTAGATCTGCAGTGGGGGTAGATTCTGACTTCAGCGGGATCATAAGTGAGATCATCTCTCTAGTTTTATTGAATTGCCTTCTTACATGGGTGTATGTTCACAGCCTTCCACCCTTTAAGGACAAGAGTTTATGCATGTGTAAAATTTTTTGATTGTAGTTGTTGGTTTTTTTTAGAAAAAAAGAAAAAAAAAAAAAAGAATCCTCTTTTTAGAACTTCTCTTGGTGATACCATCAGAAATGTCTTCCTTAAGTGGAAAAGTCCAAACTGTTTTGGGCCTTGTCGAGCCAAGCAAACTGGGCCGCACCCTGACCCATGAACACTTGACGATGACCTTTGACTGCTGTTACTGTCCACCTCCTCCGTGCCAGGAAGCTATTTCCAAAGAACCTATCGTCATGAAAAATTTATATTGGATTCAGAAAAACTCTTATTCCCATAAAGAAAACCTTCAATTGAATCAGGAGACAGAAGCCGTAAAGGAAGAACTGTTGTATTTTAAAGCTAATGGTGGAGGGGCTGTGGTGGAAAACACAACCACTGGGATTAGCCGAGACGTACAGACATTGAAGAAGCTTGCAGAAGAGACTGGCATCCATATCATATCCGGAGCTGGGTTTTACGTGGATGCAACTCACTCCTCAGAGACCAGAGCCATGTCAGTGGAGCAGGTAAAAAGCCTAAGTTCTTTGACAATATCTGTTCATAAATTCAAAACAGCCAGAACCTTGAAAAATGCCCTGGGCCTGGAGGTAGCTGGGCATACTATAGAAATTTGCCAGCTAGCAAAGACATCTGTCAGTTGGTACCCAAATTAGTAACATTGTATTTCACAAAGAAAGTGCCAATTTTGTAAGTAAGCCTTGTGGTAAAGAAAATAATATTAATAAATAAAATGTCAAGGAAAGAGATCTTAATGCACTGGTCATTGAAAAACCCAACGTGGTAATAGATTGTGTATATCATATCTGTCCTCAGTAGTGGCGCCACAGTCGGTTTGTAAACCTCACTTTTCCATCTTCAGTCATGCAACCTCAATTTTTGTCCCCCTGGATTTTATAATAACCAGCAATGAAGATTCACTGTAGGGTGAAACTTGGCAGGCAGAGACTTGGCACGTTTGTGAATGTGTTTCACTCTCCTTTTACAAAACACAGGAGGTGGAAGAAAATTCGTTCTCCTGTGGGTTTTCATAATATGGTCTCAAACAAGAATGGGCAGAAGGGAGTAAATTGTTTAGGGACAAAAAGAATAAGCTGCAAAACATTTTTGTGCATGTGTGTGTTCTCTTTCTAAACACACATGTATCTGTTTATACCTGTTAATGAATATATGTATATATTCATATGTGTCTTCCATTGCCTAACAGGCATGGGGTGTCAGCTCAGTCTTTGCAAAAGATCACTTACTCTCTAGAATATTTTGTATTTCAAAATTTTGTCTGCACTGTTTTCCAACCAGGACTTTATTTTTGTAAATGTATTTATGGTATTTAAAGACTACGCTGATGATGAGCATTATACACTTTTCCAAGCACTCTGAGCAGTAACTATACACAGGAACCAAAAAGTGTAATAGTGGTACTGTGTGCCGTCAATTTTCCATGCTGTCTTCGGTAAAAAACTGAATAAATAGGAGAGAATTAAAGCACTACTGGAAGCCTTGTGCGGTGGCGCAAGCCTGTAGTCCTAGCTACTTGGGAGCCTGAGGTGGGAGGATTATCTGATCTCAGGAGTTCAAGTCCAGCCTGAGTAACATGGTGAGACCCCTGCTTCTTTTAAAAAAAAAAGAAAAAGAATTACTTGATACAGGAGACACAGATTCAATTCATTGGCAGTTTTTCTATATTCTAGATGCTGCTCCCCAGGTTAAATTATAGATTTTTTCCCCTTCACTCTGAATGCACTGTCATTAAGCCACTTTCTCCAACTCCAGCTTCATAAAGCTATTAATTTCTCATTAAATAAACACTTATTGTCTAATCTTGGATTTAGTGTAACTTGTTGATTTGTGATTTGGCTAGCAAAATGCCTTTTTCATTGGCCAATATTAATTGATAACTATTGAATACATTTTTAAAAGAATGAAGGACTAAAGAAATAAATTCATTCACATACTGTAGTGGATCTATTTGGATATGTTTCACAATCTTTAAAATATATTCCTTCTCGGCAGCAAATCACACTGCCACGTGTGTACCTATGCAACAATCTTGCATGTTCTTCACATGTACCCCAAAACCTAAAATGCTTTATTGCATATATATATATTTACATGTATATATATTACATATATATATTTATATATTCCTTCTCACTCTTCCTTAGCTTACCGATGTCCTTATGAATGAAATTCTCCACGGAGCGGATGGAACCAGTATCAAGTGTGGCGTTATTGGAGAAATCGGTTGCTCCTGGCCTTTGACTGAGAGTGAAAGAAAGGTTCTCCAGGCCACCGCTCACACCCAGGCTCAGCTTGGTTGCCCTGTCATTATCCATCCTGGACGGCACCCCACGGCACCATTTCAGATTATCCGAATATTGCAAGAAGCAGGTGCAGACATCTCCAAAACAGTCATGTCACATCTGGATAGGTAAGCAGCCTATCTTACAAATGGATGCAAACTGCCATATATTTAATGCATGATCAAATGAAGAATCTGCAGTAATCAGGTCAGTGCAATACTAATCGCGTAGAGAGAACCCCTAACTACATGGAAGATAGTATTTAAAAAGTTTTACAACTGACATTAATAAAAGTCACTGCTGGCATTTTTGTGTCCCTCCTCCATATTGGTTAGTATCCTAGGTGTTTCGCATAAGGTACTTTGCATAAGTCATTTCCTTTCATTCGCTCAATCCTGTATAACTCATCATAAGAGGTGTCACTGTCTACTTCATTTCTTTGTCTCATGGGATGATATCAAAGTAGCTGCCAATTCCCCTCGCTCAATATTTACCAGTAGTTGGAATAATAAATTAGCATGAATAGAAAGGGAGGGAAAGTCAATGATTTCACCCAGAGAAGAAAACCACAAATATGCAAGTTCACATTTGTGTCACTTTTGGTTTGAATCATCTGAATTTTGGAAAATGCAATTATAAAAAAGAATAGTAAGAAGTAGAGTATTTGTTAGGTGGTATCATGTATTAGTTTCCTATGGCTGTTGGAACAAATTATAACAAACTGGGTGTCCTCAAACAACAGAAATTTAGTGTCTTAGAGTTCTGGAGGCCAGAAGTCTGAAACCAAGCATTGTCAGGGCCCCGCTTCCTCCGCAGGCTGCAGGGAGAATGTTTCCTTGCTTCTTCCCTAGTCTGAGATCCGGTTGTTCCATGGCCTCTGGCTGCATAACTACAGTTTCTGTCTCTGCCTTCACGTAGCCTTTTCTGTGTCTATGTCTTCTCTGTTTCTTACAACAACAGTTGCCATTGGATTTATGGCCCACCCAGATCATCCAGAATGATCTCATCTCAGATTCTTGACTTAATTATGTCTACAAAGACCATTTCCCCAAATAATGTCACTTTCAGAGGTTTCCAGAGTTAGGATATGGGCATATCTTGTTGGGGTTCACCATTCAATCCCTACATATTATTTTAGATGCATAGTGGCCAGTAAAACAAATGACTAAATGAAGAAATGCCAGCTGCTGTTAATTTTATGAACAAGTCTTACAGTGTTGCTAAGGCTACTTGTTAGCCTTAAATTGAATTTATTACAGAATTAATACAGTACCAGTGAGACTACTAATATATTACAGTTACTCCTATCTTGCCTATTGGAGTAAAGCCATATTAACATATTGATAAATCCTGATTATCAGACCAGACACGTTGCTATTTAATAAACTAACAGTCCTACAGAATGTATTGATAAAATGCCTCTCCTTATGAGGCTGCAGTGAACTATGATCTCACCACTCTAGCCTAGGCAACACAGCAAGACCCTATCTCAAGAAAAAAAAAATTCTTCTACTTAATAAAAATATTATAAAATCATGTGCAGGAAATATAAACAAGTTGTAGTTATGGCAGAACAGAGAAGTCAGTATTAATGGGCGAACTGAGGCATAATAGGATAAAGGCAATTCTCTTGCCACTGGGTTAATATCAAGATTCATGCTTGGCTAACTTCAGGAATCTTCTGGTTGCACTGATAAAATAGAGGCATGCTTCTGTATACTGGTCATAGAGGAAACGCATCAGGCTGTGAAGACTAGACTCTTTGGATCCAGTGAGAACTTCAAATTATGATTCTCATTTGCTGTAAGATCTTGGACAGCTGCATTTGAATTTAAAACAAGGTGTTTTGTAATGTTGCCTTGGATGATATGGGATATATGTAGCACATTTATTCAGTAAGTATGATACTTTTTAAACATTGTTAAGTATGTCATACCTTCAAAAAGGTATAATACTAATACATTTAAATTTTATTAAAAAAATTTTTTTTGCTCTTTTTAATTTTTTATTTCTTTTTCCTTTTTTTCTTTTTTATTTATTTCTTATACTTTAAGTTCTGGGGTACATGTGCAGATCATGCAGGTTTGTTATATAGGTATACAGGTACCATGGTGGTGGTTTGCTGCATCCATCACCCCATCATTTTTAGTTTCTTACAAATATTGTGTTTTACAATTATTGTATGGTATAAGTGTTCTATATGTCTGTTAGAACATAATTGTTTATCATATTGTTAAAGTATTCTGCATTTCTACTAGTTTAAATATATATATACGTTTAAATATATTGAGACAAGGTCTCTCTCTGTTGCCCAGGCTGGAGTGCAGTGGCATGATTTTGGCTCCCTGTAGCCTCAGCCTCTCAAGCTCAAGTGATCCTCCCACCTTAGCCTCCCAAGAAGCTGGGGCTACAGGCATGTGCCTCTACACCTGGCTACTTTGTATATTTTTCGTAGAGACAGGTTCTTGCCCTGTTGCTCAGGCTGATCTCAAACTCTTGACCTCAAGCAAGTCACTCATCTTGGCCCCCTAAAGTTCTGGGACTGTAGGCATGAGCCACTGTGCCTGGTCATGAATTTCTTATCGTGTGCTTGGCATTCCTTGGGATCCCTGAATGTGAGGATGTATCTTTCATTGTTTCTGAAAAGCCTCAGCCATTTCTCTTTAAATATTGTTTAACTCATGTTGTTTATCACCTGCATCACAAACTTCAATTTGATATTTACAGGACTTTCTTACCTGTGCTCCATATCTCTTAATATCTCTTTCATGTTTCCATCCATGTGCATCACTGAGCTGTTATTTCTTCAGCTCGATCTTCCTGTTTACTACTCTTTCCAATAGAATCAATCTGTCACTCAGCCAATCTATTTGGTTTATAATATTAAGAACTATATAGTTTATTGTTACCTATTAAGTTCTAGTCGGTTACTTTTCAAATCTGCTTGGTTAATTTTGATAATTGATTTTCTCTTCCACATGGTTCAATTCAATCTTTAAAAAATGTTAAACACACAGTGTTTAGCTTGTAATTGATAAATCTAATTTCTACTATCTTTTTTTTTTTTTTTTTTTTTTTACTGTGATATAGTTTACTAGTTCTCCTGGCTGTCATTGATATGAGGCTATTTCCTTATGTTTTAGAGTAAAATTTTTTATTGTGAGATCAGACTTCTTGGATATTATGAATGTTAGGTTGGTTTCCCCTTACCTGTGTGTTTTTTGGTTATTTATTTTTTATTTCTGGTAGGCAGAAATAATGTCTGAAAAGGCATGTCTGAAACATTTTAAGTTTTTTACCACCATTAAAATTAAAATTCTTAAAAACATGTTACATTTTGTTTTAAATGTTTTACTACAATTAAAAAGTTTGGTATAAAATGTTCCAGGTAGGTTCACAACCTTGTAGAACATTTTATACCAGGAACATTTTATACCAAACTTTTTAATTGTACCTACCTGGAACATTTTATACTAAACTTTTTAATTGTGGTAAAACACTTAAAAAATTTATCATCTTTTAAACATTTTGAAAAGTACAGTTCAGTAATGTTGAGTGTATTCACTCCCCATGGCCTGTGGCAACCACCATTCTACTTGCTGTCTCTATGAATTTGAATACTCTAGGTAGCTCATATAGATGGACTCATGTAAAGCTTTCTGTGAGTGTTTAAACTAAATTTTAGATTTAAGATACTTAGATCCACACAGGTGCTATGAATTCTGACCCCTCAGCTTAGCAAGTGCAGGATTGTGGGTATGGATTCTCAAGGCAGACTTTTTCTTGACTTACCTTCCTTTAACTAGAAGACAAGACTGAGAAAGATATATGTATACAGAGATCCCTTGACTTCGGATGGGTTATGTTCCAATCAACCCATTGTCATTCAAAAATATTGTAAGCTGAAAGTGCATTTAATACACCTAACCTATTGAACTTCACAGCTTAGCGTAGGCCAGCTTACACATGCTCAGAACACTTACATTAGCCTACAGTTCCTCAGAATCATCCAGAGCAGAGCCTATTTTATAATAAGGTGTTGAATATCTCATGTAATTTACTGAATACTGCACTGAAAGTGGAAAACAGAATGTTTCTCTGGGTACTTGAAGTATGGTTTCTACTGAATGTGTACTGCATTCACGCCATTGTAAAGTTGAAAAAGCATTAAGGTGAACTAGTCGGGGACCATCTGTAATCTCCAAAAACTGTTTGTGGGCCAAGTTTTTACCTACTTCATCCTCAAGGGTGTAGCCTTCCATATGCAGGGAGTAGCCCTTTATCTGTCTCCAGTCTGATCTCCCACTCAGTTCAAGCCTAAGCTCTGTCTTACTTGGCTCATTAAAACCTTTTAGGCAAATGCTAGCTCTAGGTCTCACGTTATTCCTTATGTTCTCAGCCCTCTTGGTTCTGTCCCCTGAGCAAGTAAGCCTTACTTTCCCACCAGCTGAACCAAGCATTTCAAAATAGGGTTTTTTTTTTTCCCCTCTCTTCAATGTAATGTGGTATTTTACATGTACTCTGCTGGAAAGGTTTTCTGTGAACATCTAGTCTGCCATACTGCTTGAAGCTGACTCAAGATGATTCTTAAAGAAGAATCTTTCTGTCTCCATCTATTTACAGTTAGACATGTATGTAACTTAGAAAATTATGCTTGGCACAAACAGAAAACAAGCTTTCATTGGAAAATGTGAAATAAACCTTTACTTCTATCACAGTAGTATTTCCCTGCTCATAAAATCAAACAATATATAAATTGCAAATGTTTTCTTTATTGCCTAGTGATATACATATATGTATACACTACACCTATATATATGCATATGTGTATATTTATATACACACACACACACATATGTATTTTTTTTCTGTTAAACAATAAAGATACATTACCAGATTTCCATTTGGCTGCAGTTTCAATATATCTCTCTAGAATGACTCAGAACAGAATGGAAAGGTTGACCTGACATCAGACAAACTCAGAACATTCTAGAAAATTCTGAGACCATCCCTGGAGCAGCCATCCGTTCTGTACCTAGCGGATGGATTATTCAGGGTTCCAGTGCATGAAAAAGGCATACATGGAAATATGAGCATTTCAGTAGGGAAGCAGCTAGGGAATATGGCT